ATAAAACAGTGCACGGAACACAACACTTGGTGCTGGGAGAGATGTGGAGAAAATAGGAACACTTTTACACTGTTGGTGGGATTGGTAACCTAGTTCAACCATTATGGAAAACAGTATGGCGATTCCCTCAAGGATTAGAACTGAATGTACTATACTGACCCCAAGCCTCCTCCCTTATTACTGTGGTATATACCCAGAAGGATATACTAAATTACTGCCTGCTACCATAAGACACTTATGGCACACGTATGTTTATTGCAGCACTATTTCACAATAGTTCAGAAGATTGTGAATCTAACCCAAATGGTCCATTCACTCCGTCGTTCGTCGTCGTGCCCTCCTTCTCCTCTCTTCTTCCGTCTTCTCTTCCTCTTTTTGTAGTGTGTTGGCGGTCTTCCAGGTATATGTGACGAGATTGGATAAGAAAATGTGGACACATATAACAGCCATGGGAAATACTATGCAAGCCATTAAGGTGAAAGGAATGAGTTTGTGGTCCTTTGTAGGGACATGGATGCAGCTGCGAACCATCATTCTTAGCAAACTATCACTATAGAACAGAAAACCAAACACCCGCCATTGTTCATCACTCATAGGTGGAACTGTATACAATGAGTTCACTGGACCAGGAAAGGGACTCACATACCGGCGGTGCCTATCGCATGGGGAGGGGGAAGGGTGAGGGATTGCATGTTTGGGGAGTTATTACTTCTGATGTAAATGACGTAGGTTGATGAGGTGCAGGCACGCAACATGGCACAAGTATACATATGTAACAAACCTGCACGTTATGCACATGTACCCTACAACTTAAAGTATAATAATAATAAATTAATTTTTTAAAAAATTATATCTCATTCAACACACACAAAAAAAATACAATGGTTGGATAGACATAGGATAGACATTTTTATTACAAAAGGAAGAAATAGGAAAAAATAAAGGATAATGGATCTTGACTAAATCCAAAACCTAATGGGGCAAACATAAAGTCTTAAGGCTTCATAATAATATTATTTGCCTTAAAGTCCTGGCTTCTGGACACACTGGCATGGACGTTGGGCCCCTAAGGCTCTGGGCAGCCCTGCCTCCATGGCTTTGATGGGCTCTGCCCATACAGTAACACTCAGGGATTGAGCCTGAGTGCCTGCAACTCTCCCAGTCTAGTATTGCATGCTGGTGGCTCTGCAGTTACGAGGTTGTGGAAGAAGTACTGCCCCAACAGCTCTACTAGGCATTGCCCTAGTGGGGTATCACAGAAGTGGCTCTGTACCAACAGCTCCACTAGGCATTATCATACTGGGGGCACTCTGTGTTGGTTCCACCCCTGTGGTAGTTTTCTATCTGGGTCCTAAGCTTCTTTAAGGCATCTTTTGAAATCTAGGTAGAGGTAGCCATGCCCCCACAGCTCTTGCACTCTCTGCAGAGTTAGTACTACATGGATAGCACCATACAGGTTTATGTCTTGTACATTCTAGAGGGGTGATGTGAGCCACACCGATGCCCCCATGAGCCACAGCTGGGGTGGCTAAGAAGCACTGTGTCTGAAAGTGGGGAACAAAGACTTGAGGTGGCACTGGACAGCAAGCTCCAAGATCCCAAGGGCACCTGAGGCCCCACCTTTGAAATAGTTCTGGGCTTCAGGCCTTGACACTATGGGCCTTGATGGAAGGGGAAGTCCCAGTGATTTTGTAAATGCATTCAGAGTTATTCTCCCAATGTCTTGTTGAATACCATCTGTCTTGCTTCTCTCCATACTAATCTCTTCATCAAACAATCACTTGGCCACACTCTTGGTGTTCTCTCCCAAAGGAGCTCTCTCAATTTGACCAGTCTGAAAATTTTCCAAATCTTCACATGCTGTTTCTCTTCTGATTATAAATTCTGTCTTTAATTTATCTTTTAATGCATTTTATTAAACATAGTCAATAGAAGTCATGCTGCACCCTAAAGACTTGGCTTAGAGATTTCTTCCACCAAATATCCTGTTTTATCACTCCTATATTTTTCCTCATAAAACACTAGGATGCAAACACAATTCAGTCAAGATCTTTCCCACTTTATAACAAGGCTGGCATATCCTACAGTGCCTGATAGCACGTTCCTCATTTCTAAGACCTCATCAGAATGGCCTTCACTGTCCATATTTCTAACATTCCGTTCACAATTACTTAAGTAATCTCTAATAGCTCTATAAAATTCCTAGAAAAGTGTTTCCCAAACTGGTACTCCATGAAATACTAGTATAAGAAAAAGAAAAAGGCAGATTCCTTCACCAAATAAATTTAAGAAATACAGTATAAGAATTAGAATATTAAAAAATATGAGAAGAGTGGTGTTAATAGCTTTACAGCATTCATTAACTCTGTGAAACTCTAATTTTTGGTAAATTGTTTTAAAATATTCATCCTAAAGGAAAATTCAACTATAAAGCCATAAATAGAGCTGAGTCACATTTATAACATATTTTTAAATAATCAAGTGCTCTATGTCTATTATTTTAAAACATATTTATCAACATAATACATACTTCTCAATTTTTGGTATTGGTCAACTTCACTTGTCTGAATTTGATCCATGCATCCTGCAGCTGATTCTACACTTTCAGGTGTAAAACTCCTATCTGGCAGTTTATCCGTATCTTGATCTACCAAGATTAAAAGAAAAAAAATTTTTAGTAAATTAAATACAGAAATAACTATTGAAACTTACCTACTATAGCCTAATCTCAAGAAGACTCTAATTTCTAAAGTTTAGGAACATATTAATACATCATTATGTCAAATAAGAAGAGAAAAATTATCTCTATTAATATCTGAAGTTAATTTGACAAATTTCACATCTATCCTGATAAAACTCTTTGAAAAAGTAGAATTATAGATTTACTCCTAGACATTTACTCCCTTAAGATAGAATACATTTCAGTCTCCACCCAAAAGCTAAGATTTTGGTTTCTAGTGAAACACCAAAAGCCATTACTATTAAAATTATGAACGAAACAAAAATGTAACTCATTATTGTTTTCTTTAGCAATTACCCATTTCTGGTAAAGTTGGTAATATAATGCAGAAATGCAATAAAGTAGAAATTTTGATTTTCTGCTAAGTTTACTTGTATGACCAAACATACTCATACAATGTTGATTAAAACTAAAAATAGATTTGCCTGTATTGATTTGTTTTATGAATTTTTTATAATAAAAAATAAATTAAAAGAGAAAAAAGTATATATATCTGGGTCAGAGAGATTGTACATATTCAATGTCAATGAAACTCATAGATATATTTTTATTTTCTAATATAATTGGTACATATTTTCATAAAGATGTCTCCAAATGTCTAAACATTATCTACATCTTCCTGTAACACTGAGATCTGTTTCTCTGTACCCCTCCCAACTGATATTATATACTTACAGTATTTATTTTATCAATGATTTTAACTGAATTTTTTATTATTGATATAAATGTATTTGATTAACAATAGGGATAAAATATCTGCTGTCCATTTTTCTGTTGGAGAAATTTATTTTAAAAATTTCTTTTAATATATTTTTTATTAAAGAAATAATCTAAAATAAATGTTAAAATATTTTTACATAAAAGTTATACCCTTTTGACTGTCACAAAATTTTGATGTTTGCTTTTTAATTTTGATTTTGGTGTTTCTGTGCACAGAAATTTTAAATTATTATTTAGCCAATTTTTAATGATCTCTCCTTTATGTTCGTATCTATGAAGTCATACCTAGGGTAACCTTCCTAAGAATGAGACTAATTTACATTTTCTTGCACTGTTTGATTTTTCATAGTACTTATTTATAACCTAGAAAATCAGTTTTTTGAATAGTAAAAGATAAAGTTATCACTTTAGTTTCTTTTCTGATTTGTCTTAATATGATTCATTAAATAAACATTTTTTATACCACTAATTCTAATGCTTATTTTTCTGGAGTTTCTAGCCTGCTCCACTCATCTATATGTTTATTATTTTATTTAATTTTATTTAATTTTATTTTTATTTTTTATTTTACTTTAAGTTCTGGGGTACATGGGCACAACGTGCAGGTTTGTTACATATGTATACATCTGCCATGTTGGTGTGCTGCACCATTAACTGGTCATTTATATTAGGAATATCTCCTAATGGTATCCCATGATAGGCCCCGGTGTGTGATGTTCCCCACCCTGTGTCCAAGTGTTCTCATTGTTCAATTCCCACCTATGAGTGAGAACATGCAGTGTTTGCTTTTCTGTCATTGTGATAGTTTGCTCAGAATGATGGTTTCCAGCTTCATCCATGTCCCTAGAAAGGACATGAACTCATCCTTTTTATGGCTGCATAGTGTTCCACGGTGTATATGTGCCACATTTTCTTAATCCACACTATCATTGATAGACATTTGGGTTGGTTCTAAGTCTTTGCTATTGTGAATAGTGCCTCAATAAATACATGTGTGCAGTGTCTTTCTAGAAGCATGATTTATAATCCTTTGAGTATATAGCCAGTAATGGGATGGCTGGGTCAAATGGTATTTCTAGCTCTAGATCCTTGAGGAATTGCCACACTGTCTTCCACAATGGTTGGACTAGTTTACAGTCCCACCAACACTGTAAAAGTGTTCCTATTTCTCCACATCCTCTCCAGCACCTGTTGTTTCCCAACTTTTTAATGATGGCCATTCTAACTGGTGTGAGATGGTATCTCATTGTGGTTTTGATTTGCATTTCTCTGATGGCCA